AGAAAGGTTGTTCAAATGAGTGGTTCTGATTCTTTTGAATCTTCTTCTGGTGCTGTACATTGCCCTGTTGAGAAAAGGTTATTACTATCATATAATTTGGAAGTTGGTCATAATGATTCACATTTAAATAATGCTCTATCCCAACATGCTGTCTCTTCTGGTTCTAAAGCCGATACTCAGTTTACTTCTGTATTGGGTCATATTGCTGGAACTAATCGAAATGATCATATGAATCTCGGTAATAAAGATTTCTACTTGTTTAATGAGAAATTAAGTTCTATCTCTAAAAAGTATAGTGCCTCTAGTTCGCCGCCGTTTGTTGTTCTTATGGAAAGTAGTATTCCAGGTCGCAATGTTGGAAAGCTAGATCCAATTTGTATTTTAAATTTATTGAATCGTATTGTTCAGGGTGGTAAAACTATTTTAAGGAATGGTATTAATCAATTGAAAATTACTTGTGATGATTAGTCTAATGCGAATAATCTTATTGCATTTAAGGATCTTTCAATGGCTGGATTTAGATGCTTTATACCTGAATCCTTCTTGGGAAATAAGGGTTTTACCACTTTGTTTTCTATTGATAGATTGGTTTCAGAGATTGTTTCTTTTTTTGATCCTTTTGATTTAAATAATATTATTTCAATTAAAAGAATTTTTAATGGTTCTACTATAACTGATCGAGTTGAATTTACTTTTTATTCTAAATATTTTCCAAGTAGCATTTCTATAAATGGATTTGATCTTGTTTTAACTCCAGCTATCCCTAGACCGAGGAGATGTTTTAAGTGTCAGAGATTCTGTTATACAGCTGCGCAATGTCGTTCTACGTTTCCTTCTTGTGAGTTTTGTGCGGGTAAACATTATACTAGAGATTGTTGTAATAGAAATGGTAGAGCAAAGTGTAAGAATTGTGGTGGTCCGCATATGGCTTCTTCTGTTGAATGTTCAATCTACAAAATCTGAATTTGGTATTTTAAAATTTAGAACCATTACTAATTGTTCCAGAGATGATGCTAAAGTTATGCTTTGTTCTGAAAATCCAGAATTTGAGTCGTACTAAACGGGATTTGATAGACACAATGAATAGCCCTGCTAAAAATAAAATCACAGAACGTCAAAAAATTAGTCAGGATCTCTGACGTTTTGAGACTGTTTTTGTTACGATTGCAGTCACAGCACACCACAATAAGTGAAGTTTAGTCAAAGAATCGTCAATAGTAGTCAGATTTTTTATGAGGGTCGGAGACCCTTTTTTTGGCCATACCATAAATCATTAAACCCTGTGACTATTTGTGATGTTAAATGACATTTCTTTCTATAAAATAGTTTTTAAGATTCCTGACTTACTTCTCATGAATTCTGACTACAAATATTTAAAAATTAAAAAAAATCAATATTTTTTAATTAAAAAAATAGATAACAATCATTTATCGTACAACATTTTTTTATCTTTACGTTACACATACTCAATTATTATTTTTGCAATTTATTATATTTATTTACCCCTATCGAAGAAAATCTCGCAAACGCAGGGAATTGAACTCACAACCTAACGAACGCAAACCGAATACCTAACCCCTGAGCTAAACTAACCTAACTGAGATCTTAAAAATAGAATACGGTTTTATGAAAATAGAAGATCATATTACTTTTTTTCAATTTTATCAACATATTTTGTTGATGATTATTATTATTTTAAAAAAATTTTAGAATTTTTAAAAATTAACAAGTAAAGTAAAATAGGTATATTGTTATATTTATCAAAAAACATTTTTAGTCCAATTATCATATATTAATGTATTCAATTAATAAAATTTGCTTTAGCAAATATTTAATTAAACAAAAAATTCGTATGTTATTTGAATTCGAACTTAAAAGAATATGTGTAATATAGAAATACAAATAGTCTAGAATAATAAGATACTGTCGGATTGTCTCAAGTAAACTCTGAGCGAATTTTATCAGGTTTTTCGCTCACGTTTTAGCACATTCATTACTATTATAATTAATTATAATGATAAGAATTAATTAATATGCATATATTAATTACTATATTATTAAAATTCAATTTAACATAATTCTTCCACAAGACATATGTTGCTTTCTTATAACTAAATGTAAGGAAACTAGCTTACTGTAAAATAATAAATACAAATTTGAAGTAGGGACTTTAAAAGTATAGTCGTAGTCATTGACGCCTGCCCTTTTCTGTCCTTGTCTTACAAACGTGATTCCATGTATATTATATGTACGTTAGAAAAGGACAAAAAGAAAAGTATAGGCCAGAAGGATCTTTTATGGTTTTATGGCTTTTCATTGCAAAATTAAAAATTGTTGCATTTGAAAAAAATAATTTTTAAATATTATATTTGTAATGTACATGTTAATACAATTACAACGATATAAAATTTTTTGCAAATATTTTTAAATTATTGAAAATTAATTTTAATTAATGAAGTATTTATTGTATAATCATTATGTAATTTTAGAGTTTTTACATAATGTTTTACATCATTGGACTCGTTAAAATCTATAAATTACAAATATATTATAACATTTAAAAAAATATTTATTTAAATAATTTTTTATTTTGCATTAAAAAGTCATAAAACCTGATGGACCCTCGAAAGGACCCTTCTATTGGAAAAAGGGAATATATAAAAGAATGTAAATTGTAGTAGGTAAACGTAAATAAGCGTATTATTAATAAAAAGGCGGAAGTTGAATCAATCCTACGTTTATATGATCTAGATATGTTAGCCATTTCAGAGACTTGGCTTTCGTCAGGGTGTCCTGTTTGGCAGATTTCTGGGTATATTACATATAGGAAGGATCGTAGTGATCAACATGCGGATGGTGACACCTTGTTGCTTGTCAGGAATTCTCTACTGATAACTCCTTTAGTCATTAATTCAAATGTATTGTCTAAGATTGATGTTGTGGGTGTTTCTATTAATTCTAAAATTGGATCTTTACAACTTTTATCAGTGCATGCTCCTCCAGATGTACGTTTGTTTTCTTCGATATGGGAAGACCTTGTTCAGAGTTGTGATTTAAATAAGAAGATTATATTGTGTGGAGATTTCAATGCATATGCTTGGTCTTGGGGTGCCAGTTATAATAATTTTCGTGGTTCTGATTTGTCTGATATAATTGAAGATTTTGATTTGTTACCATTGAATGATTCGATTCCAACATATACTAGATCGGATGATGTTAAAAGTAATTTAGATTTAATTTTTGTTTCTTCCTCTCTTGCTCAAGTTTCATCAGTTGAGGTTGCAGCTGATTCTTTTACCTCGGATCATTTTTTAGTTATTGCCAGTTCTGATATTGAATCTAAACACATTAAGTCTTCTACTAATAAATTTAATCTTAAAAATGTTGATTGGTCTAAGTTTTCTAATGTTATTGTGAGTAAGTCTGTATCACTTTTAAATGAATTGGATTGTGGATCAGATCCTATTGATGTTTATGATTGTTTTACGTGTTATATTAGAGATTCTTTAATTGATTGTGATGCTTATATTCCAGCAAAGTTACCTGGAAAAAGGAAACTCCCCAATTATAAAAACTTACCAAATGATTCTATATGAAAAAACATTAACAAAGCATTTACACCATTGGTAAAAAAAATTTTAATTTTGCATTTTCCGAAATAAACACACCTGATTGGTTGTCACAATCTGATTGCAACCAATCAGATTTTTGCATTTTTAAAAATCAAAGTAAAAAATTTTTTTACTAAAAGTGTAAATGCTCCATAAGTTTTTTTAATTGGGGTGCCAACTTCACAAGGGTAAAATTAAGCTACAAAAATTGTAGGTTATGTTTACAATAGTTTGGATTGTCCACGAAGTAGTATAAGGAGACGTAACTCCCATAGTAGATTGTGGTGAAAGTGAGCCCCAAAATCGTGTCCTAGAGTTTACGCATTTTTCTAATAATGCGATGAGGACGCCGCGCGTGGAGAAATAGAGAATTAAAATTTATCACGTGCTCGCATGTGCTGACAAATTGTCTTGAAAAAGGATGAATTTTTTTATTTATAATAATTTTAATACTTAAATCGCTATACAAAACAACTCTTTTTATTACACTCGCCTTATCATCATTCTCTAATTTCAAAAAAGCAAGGAAAGATTCATTTCCTTTAATGTAGCACCACTTTTCTGATGGCAATTCTATCATACTTAAATTGGTTTTGCAAGTTGTAAAATTGAATGTTGTAAAATCCATATTTGGCTTCAGCAACTACATTCTATATTTATTATTTTATTCTCCAAATATTTAATGAATAACCTAAAATAAAGTAATATTTATTAAATTCTTAATGAAAAACGTACCTTTCATTTACTTTCACTAATATTTAATATTTCACAATATTTATTTTATTATTTATTTATTACACAATATTTTATCAAAACCACTTCGTGATCAAAACACTTTTGCTGTCAACTACAGTTGTTTACGCGATAGCAGACGACATATTTTGATTCCGATTTATCTCAGTAGAGGCGCTACAAGAGCATTATTCGAAAACCTTAGTAACTCTAGGACACGCATTTGGGGTTGCTTTGAATGCATGGCGTTACGTCTCCTTATACTACTTCGTGGGATTGTCAAAATACCATGCCTGCGAAGTTAGCACCACAACTTAATCAAAAACAATTTTCTTTTTTTTAAACGTTTGTTGGTCGTTTGATAGTGATTGATGGTTGATACCCAACGTTTGATGGAAATAATTAGAGACAATAAACAAAAATCATATATTATTGTGCTAATTTAGTGATTGATACTCAGTTCTGAACGTTTGATGTTTGAAATAATATTGAATATTAACATTATTATAAACATCTATCCATCAGCCATCGTTCCATATGCGCATGTGCAAAGCTTTCTCTAGCGGCATATTCAAATAACAGAAACAGATTTTACTATTCAATTATAGAAACAAAATTTTAATTATAAATCATACAATTAATCTACCTGCTTACAAAATTATTAATACAAATTATCCCACAAGGATTAATTAATCAACAATGATGTTGCTAGATTTAAAAAATTTAACCAATTTTTAATTTTTTTTATTCCAATACATTGTTAGACGATTGATGGTAATTGATTATTGGCAGAAATCGTTTGATGGTCATTGATTGTTGACTTAAATCGTTTGAGGGTCATTGATTGTTGACTTACATCGTTTGATGGTCATTGATTGTTGACTTACATCGTTTGATGTTCCTTGATTGCTGACTTAAATAGTTTGATGGTCATTGATTGTTGACTTAAATCGTTTTGATGGTCATTGATTGTTGACTTAAATCGTTTGAGGATCATTGATTGTTGACTTAAATCGTTTGAGAATCATTGATTGTTGACTTAAATCGTTTGATGGTGATTTATAAATGTCAAAAATCGTTTGATGGTCATTGATTGTTGACTTACATCGTTTGAGGGTCATTTATTGTTGAATTAAATAGTTTGATGGTCATTGATTGTTCGCTTAAATCGTTTTGATGGTCATTGATTGTTGAATTAAATCGTTTGATGGTAATTGATTGTTGACTTAAATCGTTTGAGGACATTTTGTCTGTTCGACGTACTGTCAGTTCGGTGAAAAGCAAGCGTCTCAGTGCACCGTGAAATTAGCACAATAATATTTGATTTTTGTTTATTGTTTCTAATTATTTCCATCAAACGTAGGGTATCAAACAATCAATGACTATCAAACGACCAACAAACGTTTAAAAAAAAGAAAATTGTTTTTGATTAAGTTGTGGTTGTAATTTCACAGGCATCAAAATACCTGTTAGGAGCTAAAATAAATAAAATTGATTTTTATTTTTTTACATAATTAAAAACAAAAACGAAATTTAGTCGAACGTTAACCTAACCTATAATTTTTTAGCTTTCCTTTCTTCAGAGGCGCGTCACATTTGAAATATTTTCCCATTATTCTATGTAAGAGAAAATCATTGCTATAATCATTTTTGTTTATTTTTATTCTGTACGTGTGATTTGTCAAAATAATTATTTTATTTTTTAATAATTATATTTGTCATTGAAGTGTTACGAGAATTGCAAAGGAACATTGACCTTGCATCTGGATATAGGTATATTGACTTTTATAAACTTGCAAGAAAAGAGAGATGATAATGTACGATAGGAGACACATTTGGTGACATAAGAGGAACGAGTGTCATATTTAATGGAGAGTGATAGAGAAATTCCATCACAGGATGCATTTCCTATACGTACACGTATCTATATACATGCGATTGTATAAGGATAGATCACGTCATTAGAGGACAATAGAACTCTGCAAGATTATTGTGTCTCGATTCGAGTTAAGCGAAAGCAAATATCCGTTCAGATAATTATCCATTGAACTGAAATTGAATTCACCTCATGTAGATATTAGAAATCACGCTCTCGACAAGATATAAAAAAAATTCTGTCATCAATTTTATACGCATATATAATTATTTTATATTGCAAATATAAGTGGAAATTGTTTTCTTTCCTTTCATGAAATAATTACTATAATAATTATTTTTTTTGTGTGTTTGGTGATTCATATTCAATTTTTTGTTGTATAAAATAACGCACTGTGAAAGAAGCAAAAAAATTATAGGTTATGTTTACGATAGTTTGGAAGTGAAAATACAGAACAATTGATCATTATCAAAATAAAAACTAAATTTAATAATTAAAATAATTATTTATTCTGGTGATTTTTACTTATTCTTTCTTTTTTTATTATTAAACTCACATTTTTCTCGGTTTTTCACAGGAATCGATCGATGTACGGATTTTTTTTACCTTTTTCTGAAACAAAAAAAAAAGAGAAAAAAGATGAGCAAGATGGAGAAAGTATGAGAAATATATAGTGTGAAAGAGAAAGGCAATGAAGAAAAGTCACTTATACGGCCATCATTTGCCTCCTAACCTTTGTGTATTGCGTTAAATAAAAAAATTCCTAACGTCCAAGTATACCATGTTATTTGTGGAATTTGCATCCTGATATTTCTCTCATTACAATTTCAAATAAGAATATCTTTGGTGCGACAATATTAATAGAAATGCTATATGCGAAATTATATGAAAATTTTCAAAAGAGGAATTAAATAATATTTTTAATATTTTAAAACGCAATTTATAAAAAAAATCAAATGAAATCTTACAAAATATACATTGAACAGTAATAAATAATCGAACATAAAGAAGATAAACAGCAATTTAATAAAATTAAGAAAGAAATGAAAATACATAATATATGTAAATTTCAAAAGTATTCCCCGGAAGAATGAAGATGTTAACAAAGAATAAAGTAAGAGTTCTTTTATATTTATAATCGTGTTTAACAAAAAGAAACATCGTGTGCATTAAAGTGGTGATTATCTCCTTCTCTCTCTCTCTCTGGGTACATTTGACGACATCGGATTTGCCAAATGCCAAAGATCTTGGAACTAATGTAATGATTTACAGGATTTATGCAACGTTTTAAAGTATTGCTACCGTCTCTTCCTTTCCCTCGTTATCTTTTATTCAATGGAATTCAAGGAAATACGCTTTTATGCCAATATGTCAGTTAGTGTAAACAATCAATTATTTACGTCATTGTCACAAAAAAATTTGACAAAGGGAAAAATTCAGTTCAATCATATTATTGAATTTCAATAATAGATTATTATTATTATTTTTATTGTTGTTATTGTAATTTTTATTTTTGTTATTATTGAACCAAAAATCTCTTATAACCAGGAAGTGAAATATAAAAATTTAATACGGATTAAAAAAATTTGATTAATATGAATTTATTATCTGACAGGTAATTAAAAGCCTATTATTTTTCTTAATACCCTTTCGTTATATTATGACAATTAAAATGTAAGTTCGAATAAATTTATACAATTACTTGTTTTTTTTCTTAAAAGAAATTAATACATATATGTATGAAATAATCCTCTAATTAAAGTACAGGAATAACTTGGAAAAGTAATTAGACGTTCAAAGGGGATTGAAGCTAACATACCATCTCTTCATTAAAGATTTACTATATATATATCTATGTTAATATTAATTCCAAGTATATTGATTCCAGGTTATTTATATAAAGTGTTCACTAAATTCAAGAAATAATAATTATTTTGCATAATAATAATTTTACATAATAATTATTTTCTACAACAATTATTTTGCATAATAATAATGCAATTATTAATATAAATATTGTTTACAATTTTTTATGTAAAAATCAATTTCATTTGAAAGAGAAAATAGTATTAAAAAGTAAAAACTCGTATATATAATAGTAATAGGAAAAGAAATATAAAAATACACGAAAACTGGTTTCTTGGTCAAGTTTTATATACCAGGATATAATTATAACTATCGGTCAAGGTACGAGAGCAAAAACAAATAAAATACAAAATTTTGTTTATAAGATATAATAAAAGCAGAAAATTATAATCGAGTTTTTTTTCTATATTTTTAATTGCCTTTCCGAAAATTTTTAGAATTTTTTAAATTTATATTTTTTAATAAAGGAATTGAAAAAGTAACATTAAAAATGAAAACTTATTGTAAATTATAATCAATAACTCATTATAACACAATATTAGTAAATAAATTTGAAAAAAGGTAATAATTTGCAATCAAATATTTTTGTATACCTAATTATTATATTAGTAATGGGTAACTTTTCAAGGATTATTCTTTTACTTATATATATTTAGCTTGTCTAATGACCTGACTCACTTGGTTTTATACTCAATTGTGTAACTCTTGACTATTTTTTGAAATCATTATATGCCTAGTTACATTGTGAAGTTGTTAGTTAGTATAATTGCGAAGAAAGTCATATATATGCATGCGATCATAAGGTGAAGAGATGAATTGCAATTATCACTGCAATTGTCGGCTATTATAGACACGTTACTAACGAGAATAATATAAAAATTAAATTTCATACGATAAGAATCACTTTTTTTTCTTAAGTGATTAAACTTGGAAAAAAATGTAGGCATAATAATATATAATGTTACGTAAAAATTTGAGTATTATATATTATAACAAGTGTCGTAAATTTTTGATGGTTAGTATAATTTTTTCTTCTGTCATAATCTTTAATTACAGGAAATATTTATTTTTCTATATCAGATGTAATTTAACAAAAATTGTGATATAAAAAAAAACATAAGAATAATAAGGAAAAAATTATTTATTTCACAGTTTTATTACCAAACTGTTTATAGTATTTATAATTATATTTATAAACAATTATAAAAATTGTTAAATGTGAAAGTATTAATTAATTAATATTTTTAATTTGCTAAAAAATATTGTTACATTGAATTTTTTTTTTTGAAATTCGTCCCGGGATTTATCCTAAACCACAGTAACAATTATAAACTTTATGACAAAGCAGGAAATAGTAAAAACTCCAGTAGCACTGCCGCATAACTTTAATTATACGGATGTAATCATCATGGTAGGATCCGCGCTTGAAAAGTAATTTGGTAACCATAGAAAATCTATTATTATTATTACAGAAAAGTGAATCGATATTCTTTAAATCGACAATTAATATTGTCATTTCTAGTAATGAAAATAATTTTAAATGTTAAATCTTTTATTTTTTTTTATTATAATTATTTTTCTATTCTTTTAATTTTATTGTCAGGAAACTCTAAATTCATAATATTTATTTTTCTATTGTAAATATAAAAAAAATATTTATTCTAAACCTTCGAATAAAAAAATTGTTTTTTAAATAAAAAATACCATATGTAATTTTTAAACGATTTAACCTATTCTGCTTCTTGATAATAAACTCGTTAATCTAAAAATTACCCAATATATTGAACTTTCGTCAGAAATAAAATTTCTCATTGAGTGTAAAAATATTTCAGCATCTTTCGCTATATATACATATGGGTTCACATATAGTGCGACCCTTGATCTTTAATATATGTTTTTTTTTATTTTATATTCTAGATCTGTCCATCAAAAGAGTGAAAGGCTTGTATATACCTTAAAAACAGCGACAAAACTGTTATTATATTCTGTATGCAATAATTTTATTTCCCGTATGTCACTATTTATTGTATACAAATAATTTTTTTTTAATTTTTATAATATTTATATAAAGATTATGAAAAACAAAAAAAAATTCATATTATTTATTTTAAATGACAATTTTTTTATTAATTAATACTTTAAGTAAAAAAAAATGCTATGAAAGTGTTTATAAATTTTTTACTTTAAGTATGAAAAAAATTATTATATGTAAGAAAAACAAGTTTTTCTGTATGTTTTAAATTTGTCATTTTATACACATTTTTTGAATTATTGTCGCACATTATAGATTTCATTCATAAATATTACCATTAATAGTTACAATAAATAATAATTGTTTTCATATTATACTTGTATTATTTATAAGAAAATATTTGCACGTGTATAAAAATAAAATTATATACAGAATATAATATAATTATTATAACTATAATATTTATTATATAATTGTAATGAACTGAACAGTGTCAAAATATCATTGAGATAAATTAATTTATATAGGTATTAAGTTTTATAATAATAATTCAAAAATTCTATTTATTAAAAATGTATTTAAAATAATAAATAAAAATTAGAAAAATAAAACAAATTGCTGTAAATTACAAATAAAAAAAGCATGAGTGAAGTCTATTCGATTATAATATTTTTTTTCTCTTATTTTTCTTTAAGGTCTTGCACGTACATCCTTGCGTGTGCTTCATCCTGCACATAATGTATAATAGGGACTCTTGGTAAAGTCTTCCAATAAACGGCAGACATACTTTTTTTCTTTTCTTTTTTTTTAAATATATACAGGGAGAGAAAAAGGAAAAGAAATAAAATAAAAATAAAGATGAAAAAAAAAATCAGTTACGAGTAAAACAAGAAGACCACAGACTGGATAGTGTTTTTTGTATATAAAACGCGAAATACTTCCAGGAGATTTAACCCGTATGTATATATAATAAAAACCAGAGTTTTCTAAATATATATTTGCGTTTTATTTACGAAACATTAAATGATTCCATTTGAAATACTTTTAATTTTTATCATTTCATTTGAAAAGTGTAAAATTGTGTATTTTTTAATCTATGTGTGTTAATTTTTAAATGTTTTCAACTTTCTGTTTGAAATTTATTTTCAATTATTATTATAAGTATATAATATATAAAATGATAATAATATAATAATAATAATAAATAAATAAAATATTTTTTATAATAATTATTATTATAATTAAATATGTAGGATTTGTATTTCGGATGCTTTTGCTTTGTTATTCTAAATAAATGAATAAGCCCTAAATTTTTTTTTCAATTATAATATGAAAATTAACTAATCTTCATAATTATAACTGTCGTTATAACGATTATGTATTCATTGTAAAAAGGGTTATAAAATATAGAGTTAGAATAAACCGGTTTTTCCAGTAACTGTAATTTAAATTTGGTTAGTGAACTTATAACAAAGTTGCACTAGCAATGATACTTATCTAAACGAATCAATGATCTTTATTGGTAAAGGAGTATAAAAATTTTTTTTATTCGAAAAAAAGAAAGAAAAGAAAACAATTTCAGAATTATCATTGGATGGTAATTTTTTTGTAATTGTTATGTATTTGTATTTAATTTTATTTACTTGAATTTGCATTAAATTATTGTATTTTACTGTATTTGTATTTAATTGTATTTATAAGTTCTAAAATGATCGGAAACAGTTTTAATTAGATTTTATAAGGTTTTATCAGGTTCTATCGATTATTTTTAGTACGAAATTAATAGAATTTAATAAAACCTTATAGAATCTGATTAAAACTGATTCAATTGGATTTAATTATTCCTCGATTGAATTTAATTATATCTCAAATTAATTATATAATGTTCTATAAGGTTTTATCAGGTTATATTGGTTACTTTTAGTAAAAAAAATCGGCAGACCTCGTCAAAACTTACAGAACCTTATACAAATCCATTTAAAAATTAATTAAATTCAATTGAATCATTTTTAAATTTAGATTCCAAGAGATTTCATTAGGTACTATCAATTATTATTATTATTATTATTTTTATTATTATTATTATTGTAATAATTATTATATTAATTAATCTTGTGTAGTGTACTATTAGGTAGTAGGTTTTAGTATACTTTTTAACTATATTCTGTGTAGTCCAATAGGTCCTCAATTGAATTTAAAAGGTTCTAATTAATAATTAATTATCAATTAATAATAATTAATTATATTAATCAATTATTATTCAATTTGATTTAATTATTTCTCAATTGGATTTAATTTGTTCTATAATAGATTAAATAAAGTTCTATAATGTTAATACTGGTTAAATTGTTTTTGAAATGATTTAAATTAGTTTCAATTAAATATACTTTAAGGTCTTCTAATGTTCTAACGATTATTTTTAGTACGATATCGATAGAATAGGATAAAACTTTATAAAATTTGATTAAAACTCATTCTATTGTTTCTGAATTGGATTTTATTATTTCTCAAACGAATTAAATAAGAATCTATAAGTTTACACAGAAAAAAACTGATCTCAAAATTCAGCAAAAATGAGTCAGGTTGGTGTCGTTTAGTATTGACTCATTTTGAACTGATTCAATTGGATTTAATTATTTCACAAATGGTTTAATAAGGTTCTGTAAGTTTTAACAGGTTTAATTGTTTCTGAAATGGATTAAATTATTTTTAATCAGATTCTATAAGTTTTTATCAGATTTTGTAAGGTTTTACCCGATTCTATCGTTTATTTTTAGTACGAAATAGGTAGAATCCGATAAAACCTTACAGAATCTAATTTTGAAAACTAAATTTCACCTGTTTCGAAAACAATTAAATGATTCAGTTCTAATGATCATTATAAAATTGTTCAAATTAGTTTTTATCGGTTCTTATCGTTTTTCTTTACACTGAAAAAAACTACAGGGAAAAAAAAATAGTTCGCGAAATTTTCGTAGTTGTTCACTTTGTGCCCGTCCAAAAGTGAACAACTAGTTTACTAAAGTTTCGAAAACTAGTTTTTTCCGTGTAGTAGGTTTTAGTATACTTTTTAACTATATTCTGTGTAGTACAATAGGTCCTCAATTGAATTTAAAAGGTTCTATTAACTATATGTGGACGTCCGCATGAAAAGGGACCGGTTGTCGGTTTTATTTTAGGAGATAATCGCTATTTTGCAAAAATGTTTCAAATTTTCGATTTTTTTATTGATTAAAAACAATCTGTAGAGTGTCCCGCGTTGATTCATGCATTTCTCATAATTTTCTCGCAATTATAAACGCATAAAAAATTTATTTTTAATTTTTTATTAGCATGGAAACTAATGGAAAACTCAAATTTTAAACTCGTTTTTCTCGAAACTATAGTGTTTTGGCACTTTTAACTTCGAATCCTTGTAACTTTGCGAATTTTTCACTTGGAATGGTCTAAGACCACTCAAAATTTTCCAAATTTATTCAGGAATTTGCCTATATAGTCCAATAGTGCCAAAGTGGTCCTTTTTCATGTGGATGTCCACATATAAATATAGTTAAACTAATTAAGAATGTAATTGGTAGAATGACATTTTTTGGGATTGTATTAACTCAATTCAAAAATGTTAAAACAACTCAAGATGTAAATTCATTTTACTATACTTAAAATGGTTCAATAAAGTATTTAAGTAAGTACTTAAAGTGCTTTAAGAACATTTTTTTGTGTAATTAATAAATATTTTGCAATTGAAACTACTACTTTAAGTAGTAAACTTTACTATTGAAAATGATTCAATAGGCTTTAAGAACATTTTTGTTGTAGAATTAATAAATCTTTTGTAATTTTTACTATACTTTTATTAGTTGCTATAACTATTCTTTGTAAGTTTTGACTTTTAAATTTTTTCATCTCTTAATTATATTATAAGTTGTTCAATTGCATAATGAAGTAAAATCTACTACTTAAAGTTGTAATTTTAATTGCAAAGGATTTTTTAATTCTACACTGAGAAAAATATGCTATTGAATCAACAGCATTTCTGCCAAAGGTAAAAAAATTATTGATTCTAAAGCATATGCTATGAAATTTGCAAAATATTTTATAGTTTCAATATAGTATATGCTTTTGAATCAATAATTTTTATACCTTTGTCAGACATGTTATTGATTCAATAGCATATTTTTCTCAGTGTACAACAAAAATGTTCTTAAAGCCTATTGAATTTGTTAATTCTACAACAACAATTTTATTGAAGCTTATAAAATCACAGGAATCAATAATAAAAATTTACTACTAAAAGAAAATAATTCCTTTTACTACTTTTCATATAACTGGTGAATAGTAGTTGAATTTACTATACTCTTGAAATTTTGAATTTACTTCAATTACAGTTGTTCTTACCACCTTAAGAAAGTTAATTTTACTACCAATCTGTAGTTGTACTTTAACTACATATTTATGTAAAATCAAATATATTACTTATTAACTTCTTAAAAATAGTTACATTAACTACATAAACATGATTAGACTAACTAAAAGAGTAGTTATTTTAACTACTTTCTAGTCACTACCCAATGGTAGTTGAATTTCTCGGCAACATTTTTTTCAGTGATAGATCTAAATCGATTTGAATCGTAATTTATTGATTAGTTTTAAAAGTACAGTTTTTTCCGGGTATTAATATTTTGATTTATAGAATACTGAGGTTAGAATAGTTATTAGGTAAAGGCCAATATAACATAAGGTAAAGTGTTTTACACATTGTCGTTTTGTTAAATGGCCACTCGAATTGCAACTTATATCGTGACTGCATTTCTCTCGTCTCTCGTCTCTCTCTCTTTTTCTATCTTTCTCTTTCGCCAAGCTCTTTTTCTCTCTCATCTTTTTCTGCTTTCAAAGTCTCATCCTCTCAGCATAGGTCGGTCATCACGAGTTCGATGAAGACAGAAAACCTGACCGTCCACTCTGTGTGTTCGAACCCTCCTTTCGCTCGACTCGACGAACGACGAAAGACTTTTCGTCCGGCACACACGGCGTCTGCCATGGTTTGCCGGTAGTTTGTGGCTAGATGCCGCAAGATCAGGAGGTTTATGTGTTACTCGCTTCTCTCATAAATATATTTTATATATCCATTATCTTCCCTAATCTCTTCAGTGTGATATCTTTTTTTTCACAAATAATTTAGTGTCGTGACATTTAGTGACCTGTGATATCAAATATACAAGTCTACTTTCACACATTTCTTTTTTTTCACAAATATTTCCGAAACCTTGAATAATTGGGCCTATATTGAAGGGTGAATGCATGGAATTTGAACCGGATGAAAGACCTTCAATCTCTTTTTTTTATTTTTATTCGAAAAGAAACGAAAAAAAATATAAAACATGTTTGGAAAAATTTCAAATATTTTTTTGATATAAGAAATACTAAATCTGTAAACTTGCCACTGTAGGAGGAAATAGTGATAAAAAAATCCATCTGTGTTGCACGTGGTATGTTTTTTTTCGAACCATTTCTATATAGTGGAAAAAGAAGCAATTTGAAAGAGGAGAATATAACATTGGCAATAATTGAAAAATTGTGTGTGTATGTTATATTGATGGCAGGCTGATGACGCCCACTTGGATGAACGTCGTCGTCGTCAAAGAAGGAGAAGAAGAAAGTTCTGTCGGGATTCTTAGAGCCATATCCGGCTGATCCCAAAGCCAGCTGGTGCTGGTTTTTCCCATTTTTGTCCTGATCGGGTTCGATCGGGTTGACTTTGTACGATCGTCCTCTTTGTGAACTGTATATCTTCCAAGAACTTGTGCCGGAATCAAAGATTGAGGATATAGCACAAACAACTATGAAGAAAATTGAATTAACAAACGGATAAAATATGACGAAGTCACAGAGGGCCAAAAACCGGCAGCAGGATGTCTTTGGAGAGTGAATGGAACAATTGTCAAGGACTTCAAATTAACATAAATTTGTAGTCATCTCCAATTTTTTTTCTCGTAAGTTAATTATTGTATATTAATTTTTTTTCCTAAATTCGTTATTACACTTAAAAAAATTTATCTGATTCAAATAATCGATTACTTGACTATTTTCAAATAAATATTAAATAATAATAATGTATTAAATAATTATTATTTGAGTCAATGTATTTGTTTCAAATATAGAAATTATTGGTTCAAATACAATTTATTTAATTCAATTATTTGATTTTAAAAATTATTTGGTAAATATTTATTAGTATTTGAATAAAAATAAATTTTTTCAATATTAATTTTTTGTATTTCTATTTCTATTCGTTTTATTCTATTTTCTATTTCCTTTTTCGTAACTTTCTATAAGATGAAAAATTGGGGGGCATAATTATCCCATAAAAATTATTAGTGAGAATTTTCATTTTCAACAATTTTATTAAATATAATTATTTTTTACATGAATTTTCATTTTTCGAATTAACATTTGTCAGAATTTCTTTTTTAAAGAATTTTTAATTAACAGAATTTTCAGGTTATTTTTATTCGGTAGAATTGTTAAAACGCCGAATTTTCATTTGTCCGAAATTGCAAATGGTCGAAAAAACAATCGACAGAAAGATTTCGGCGCGATTTTTATAATCTACAAATCACGATTTTTTTTTGACAATTTTTGATTGGTCGATTTTAAAATCGCGCCTAAATCTTTCTGTCGATTGTTTGTTCGGCTATTTGCAATTTCGGACAAATAAAAATTCGGCGTTTTAAGAATTTTTAACCATAAAAATTCGGCGTTTTAAGAATTTTTAACCATAAAAATTCGATACATAAGAATTCTGTTAAGTAAAAATTTGTTTAAAAAGTAATTCTGTCAGATGTTAATTCGAAAAATAAAAATTCGTCAAAAAAATAATTAGTTATATCTAATATAAAATTCTTTAAAATGAAAATTTTAAAACTACTGATTTTGTATGGGATAATCATTCCCCCCAAAAAATTATATTTAGAAAATTTAGAAAATGACAATAAAAAATTTGGTAGAAGCGATGAGAAAGATTTCAAAAAACTGCAAACCAAAGGCAAACATTTAGTCACAAATTTTTACATTATAAAAAACAAAAAAGTTAAAATTGATTTAAAATTAAAACGTTAAAGAGAAAAAATAAATTTTTTTTAATAAAATAATACTTGAAATACATTCTTTAATGATTTCAGAATAAAAAATTAGGTATTCAATTTCTCTGATGCATATAACTTTCAATTATCATCGACAATGAATAATTAAGAAAAATTCAAGGCTTTGATGATTAAGATATTCATTATTTGACACGAAACAATCATTCTATTGATTTATTGAATTTTTAAACTTCTTCGCATTTTAAAATTTTATTAACTGAAGAATTTTAACCAACTTTACTATAACATTCATCCAGAGAAAAGATTTGTTACAGAGCCAAATAAATTTTATTTGTCCTAAATAGATTTTTTATTTAAAACAAAAAAGTTATTAGACTCCAAGACAAATATATTTTTATTTGCTTCAAATAAAATTTATTAGTCCTAAATAAATGACAATAGAATATTTTTCTGGATGTTTTTGATAAGTTTATGATATTTTTTTTAATTTAAATAAATTAAATTTTTTTACACACAAATTATGTGCATTGAAGCATAAAACTATATAGTGTTTCATTTTAATTGAAATAATAGGGTCGCAGTTATTTCTTTTCTCTATTATAGTAATTGAGACAAATTAATATATTTGTTTCAAAGTAGTGACGATGCACTTTAAAGATAGATTTCATTTGTGTTTCTTTTCGTCTCTTATTTTATAAAAGAAAAAAAATAAATTGACACTTTAATTTAAATAAATTCTATTACTTGAAAATCGTATATTTATATGAAAATATTAATAATAATAATAATAAATATTAAAATTTTACTACCCAGATGAGTTTTATCTATATGAAAAAAAAGAAATGTTTGTATAGATAAAAATGAAGGTGCTAATAATTAGTGCATGTATTCAGTGTCAATAACTCTCTGTATATAATTCTCTCCTCGTTTGCATAATAATGAGAGGAAGCGTTTCTGAGATGCATGAACATGAGCTTCGCACGACTTCAATATATGTATAAGCATTCCATTCAAAAGTGAATGACATTCAAGTAACAATATATATCGAATATGTATTAGAAATTTTACATATATTTAATAATAAAAATGGTTATCGAATTTATTTTATACGAGAAGTGCAACATAAAATAATCTAATAATAATATTTATACTCTGATCTTTGAAAAATTAATTGAATCACCATCTTATATCGATATATAAAAAACATTCACTGACGCGTAAAAAGTAATTTTAGATATTACCATATGTTTATTATTATTATTATTATCATATAAAAAATCTTAAGACATCATTTAAAAATTTAGATAAAAGCAAATTTAAATTAATTTTTAAATCAAATTATTGAAACAAAATTAGGGTTGCCACGGGTCAGGGAAATCAGGGAAAAGTCGGAAAATTTTATGAAAAGTACACGATGCTGAAGTATACGCAACGTTTATGATCAACGATTGAAAATAAATTTTTATTTAACACGGAAAATTATTAAATTGTTTACCTAGAAAAATATTTTTTTATAATTTGTTGATTAATAAAAACTAGGTAAGAAATATTTTTCACGCAAAAAATTATAGAATTTTTTATTCTAAAAAATTAATTTTAAAATATCGTTTATCATAAACGTTATGCGTACTTCAGAATAATGTCTGAAAAATTATCAAATTTCTAAAAATGTTACTAAAAATTATTAAAATAGTTTTTTTGTTAAATTAAATTTATTTTTAGAAATATTTTTAATTGTTTGTGTGCTATTATTTGATCATAAAAAAAAAAATATATCACTGCAATGATAAAAATTAAATGATTAAATGTGCGGATTACAATCTCAAACAAAAGATTCCGTTTGATAATAATAAGCTGCAATAATAATCTCAATATCAATAATATTCCACTTTTTAAAACTATAATTTTAGATTTTCTTCTTTAATATGAAGAAAATATATAAATATTCATAAAAAAAAATTTCTTTCAAAAAGAGGATTTTTTTTACTAATTCGTAAATATAGAAAAAATGTACTAATAAATTAACAAAAAATAATTTTTTAGATAATTCTTTAGTAAATTTTGACTAATTCGTATATAATTCAATAAACAAGTCAGTAATTTAAATTACTTAAATTAAATTTAAAAAATATTCAATTTTCCAGTTCTACTGCACTGAAATTTGTTTATTTTGTTATTTATTATTTGGTTCAAGGAAAATATTTATTTGATAATAGATTATTTCGATTATCATTATTATTTTTTTTTAATGAAATAATTTTATTTTCAGTGTGTAGAATTTGTAATATAAAATGTTTTTAATTTTCTTTCTGAAAATCAAAAAAAAAAAAATTTCAGTTGGCAATCAGTATAAATCGGTTTGTTAAATTTGTCGAACAGTAAATTAGAAATAAATGACATATAATGGACTAAAAAGTGCTTTTTCCTAATGCATATGATGAAATCTACATATACCTTCGTTTATATTAAAATACAGTGCTGGAATTGGCGCGGTTACAATCTATATAATAATACGAAGCAGGATGAAGACTTATGAGGTGCATTTGAGAGCGCAACTACGTTATTCAACGGTAACGGTTCCGGGGATCTCCCGTGGGTCACTGGGTTACTATAATTTCTAGCGATATGTGATAAGATTTGTATTTCATGTTTTAAAGTTCTAATACTGCTTCCGAAGAAAAATTAATATATCACAGTTAATTCAAAAAAATTTCAAACTGACACCAAATAGTATTAAATTCAGACAAAAAAAATATCAAATTGACTTAAAAATATTTGAATCAGATATTTATAGTTAATTGCGGCAAGGAATGAGAATTCGAATTTGATTTATTATTATTTATTTATTATTTTATTATTATTTATTTATTTTTATAATAATTATTTTTTATTTTATTATATTATATTATTTATCATTCCAAACTTTTTTTCTCATAAAAAAATGATAAAATCTATATTTAATATTATTGGTTTCGAATATTTCGAAAACGAAATTTTTCCTAAATGATATACCTCATTATAATGTTATTTGCAATAACGTGTTTCTAATGACATTTACGAAAGCGAAGAAAAAAGATAATAATACGAAAAAATATATTATAAGATTACAGAATAGAAAAAAAAAATTTAAACATCAGGAAACTGTATAGATATTCATTATTTTATACTGTTCAAAGTCAAGGGAAACTGGAATGACATTTTTCTCTTTCATTTTAATGGAAATGAAAAGATGAAAATATAATCATTTTGTTCACAGCTTCCCTTTGCATTATAACGGTTATCCGACATATTTCTCAAGCCATGTAATTTCCTATATATGTATATACAAAGACTATATATATACAAAAAAAATCTTGATTGTAAATAATAGAGTATTTTTGAAAAAAAAATTATTTCTTTTGCGATATAATGAAATATTTAAATGAGATTCAATGACACGATTGCACCAATATTAAATTGGTTGTATTAAATTGGTATATTTCATGCTGAATTGTTCCTAGTAACAACCTTATGCTGCATAAACTGATTTAAACAACCTTGAAAAAAAATTTAAATATTCAATTTTATTCTACGCTATTTGACATAATGGAAAAAAGGATGTTTTCGCCTCAAGGAAAAATACAACAACAAAAAAAAACATTTATAACAGCAAAAGAAGATCGAAATTGATTGTATATTACAACTCATGAAAATTAATAAACGTGCTTTTATTCTACAATAGAGGAACTGGACTTTATCAAAGTATATAATTATACTTTTTTATAAGAAATTCTATTATTCTATATAAATATATTTTATTCATAATTTTAATTCATAATTTTAAATTGCAATTCTATTTTATGATGAGTAATTAACAGTAAATTTTCAGTAATACTATATAATAGTATTTT